CACCCTGCGTTTTGCTCTGCCCACAGGGCCCAGTCATGGTGGTCCTCTATGACTGAGCCCTGTGCGTGAGGTGAAATGTGTCAGTGAGTGTGTCCTGGATGAAGCCAGGCTGAACCCGCTGTTACCGCTCTGATACTTGGTCGTCTTGTTTCTTTTTCCCTTGTGAGTGTGTGTGTGTGTGTATATCGAGCCAGGACCAGCTCTCCACATGCCAGCACCCTATTTGGTATGAGTCACCAGAATGTAAAAGGATGAGAACTTGGAGTGTCACCCAAAGTCTTTCCAGTTTTTTAAATGCTAGTAACATAAATGAAAAAGTTTGTTTATATTCACGAACTATATTATATAATTATAAAGTACGAACTATATTATTATATGACTGTTATCATTTGTAAATTAATGTATTTCTAATGTGAAAGTAGGATAATTTTTATATTCTTTTGGTGGCATTATTGAAGGATCAGTGCATCCAAAACTAAAAGTTCAGTTGTAGGTGGATTATGGTAGGCTGAATTGTCAGCTCACTTTTTGTATATCAAGGACATTAAAGTGGTTCTAAAAGGTAGAACGTTTTTGTACATTAATGCATTCTCTGCAGTATGGTAAAAAACCTTAATATTATACAGGATTTATATAACGCCAACAGTTTGCTCAGCTCTTTACAATATAATTATGAGTGAAGCTCCCCTGCCCCCAATAGCCCACACCTTATACTTACCTGAGCCCAATCTCGATCCAGCGCTGTGCACGAGATCAACTGCTCTCTCCCTCCTCACTGGCTCAAAGTAAGCAGTGGTAGCCATTGGCCTCTGCCGCTGTCAATCACAGCTAATGAAGGGAGCAGGGGGTGGGTTCAAGCCACACTCTGTGTGTCTATGGACACACAGAGCCAGCACGGAAGCGGGCATGCACAAGTGTCCCCATAGCAAGCAGCTTGCTATGGTGAGCACTCGGGGGAAGAGGGGGTTGGGGAAAGGAGCCAGGAGTGCCAGCGGGGGACCCAAAAGGAGTAGGATCAAGGCCACTCTGTGAAAAACCATTGTACACAGAGCAGGTAAGTATGACATATTTGTTATTTATACGGAAAAATACAGAGTTTACAATCACTTTAAAGTGCTAATAAACCCAGGACCCTACATTCACTTTATCTGGTTTCCCACAGTACACAGAACATAAATATAAACTGTAAATCAGTAGTTAGAGCAGTCTTGTGACTTCTATCAGTGTTCAGCAGGACACATGTTAAAGGCTGTAGGAGGAGTTTTCCTTCTACTCTAGGAGGATGCAAAACCCCTGACCTCTATCTGGACAGTGCTGATTGGCCCTGTGCTGATCACTTGCACTCTCCCAAGGGAAAAAAAACCTCTCTAGCAATATACACTAAACTGAGCATGTGCAGAGTGTCTCCACAGGATTTGTCTTATCAGGAGATAAGAGGGAGACACTGGATGTGGAGGATCATAGCAGTCAGGATCAAACAGCCTTTCTACACAATGCAGAGGATTAACCCCTTAGGTTCCACAGTGAGAATAACAAACATACTTTACTGCATATACAGACTGATGTTACTGTTGTGGGTTTAGTAACACTTTAACTTGTTAGATTTACTGGGTAGCTTTAATGACAGCCTGCTAACCCCCAAATAAAAACAAATTACAAAAATAAATTTTTGTAATTCGTTTTTATTTGGGGGTTAGCAGACTGTCATTAAAGTAGTAGGGCGGTAGGGCATTGTAGTAAAAATGCCCTTCCGCCCACTTCAAGAGGCATTGGTGAGCTCAGCGCGCTCATCGCTGTCTCTCAGGAAAACTGATTGCTGGAAGACTTGTGACAATGCATTCCTGCTTTGTACTGAGTGCATTCCGAAGAGATTTTGAGTGCCCATCTTTTGTTATGCCCGATTCCAGTGTGCTCTATTGCCAGGCCCAAGTGCAGCACTCATAGAATATAAATACATGAATGCACAAAATTCATGCAATAAATAAAGTTAAAGTTCATCAATGAATAAACAAATGATTATACATGCAAAAATAAATTCATATATAAAATAGATCAACAGTCTGTGCAAAGAAATATAGCAATTTCTTCTCCTGGCTCTCACAGGCTTGGCTGACTGCGGCGGGAGCCATTGGCTCCCGTTGCTGTCTGTCAAAACCTGTGAGCGGGAGCTTAGCTTAGCATAGCAGGTGCCCCCTCTGCACCCACCCCCACCAGTCCCAGCCATGACTCTGCATGTACTGTACCTTGACTTTTCTGTAAGTGATCCCTTTGTGTGCACTGCTGGCTCTATCGTGGGGGTTGGATGGACATGGACTGCTGCCTTTGACTGCTGCACAGACCAATCACTTCCAACCTTCCCTGGGGCTGCCAGTCTGTCACTGTTCTTCTTCTGCCGCTGATTCCCTCGGCACTTACTTGCTGAAGGAGGCAGGCAGTGTGCAAGACGAATCACTCTACCAGCAGCACAGGGACTGAGAGAGGGGACTTTAATCTTACTATCGGCAAATGCGGCACAGGTTGTTGTGTAAATCCGTATGTACGCCAAAAAAGAAAAAGAAGTTTCTTAGTCTACAGTCTCCCGGGGCCTCTGGATGAACTGATATTTCCCCAAGCCCATGGAATATGATTTACCACCTGGGAGTTACAAGGAACATCATTATGCTCACAGTATGTACAAACATATGATCTACCACATGATACTTGAAGCTGTCGGCTGGCTGGGCTCCGCTGTTACGTGATAGGGCCAGGCCCCCTACAGGAGGCCCAGTGGTACCGCCTTATTGGCAGTCCTGCATGAAGGTAAAACCCTGATGTGAGGGGGAACCCTGGTGACCAGAGACTACCTTATATCAGAATCCACATCGTTCCCCTCTCTATAAGAGTTCCCACTTACACCAGGGTTTACAGCACTGCCCTTTACATCAGTGTTCCCCTTTACATCAGAGTCTGCAGAGTCCCCCCTTGCACTGTAAGGGGGAATGCTGCAGACTCTGATGCAACAGGTACACCTCTAATGTGGGGGGGGGGGGGGGGGGGTTCTGGTGACCACGGACCACCTTCCAAAGATTTAATACACTAAGAGGTGTTACTGATATCAGGGGAAATCTTTATATCTGTGCCCCTCTTATTTTACTGTATTCACTCACTCCCGCCTTACATCAGTGACCCCCCTCCTCAGACTGGCCTTGTGGTGCTGTCACTGAGCTCCTCTCAGGAGCACTGTGCAGGGCTCAGACGGTCCTCTCCGGGCTCCAGCTTGGTGGCTTCAATTTCATCTTATATTCTCTTCTCCACCATCCACACACACCTGACTCCTCCCATGACCCCTGTCCCGACAGGGCTTCTGTCCTCGACTTCTGTCCAGGCTCCCCCTCAGAGATTGAAGATGTGATACAAGCGATAGTGACTGCAGACATGATACAGGAGATGGTTAGAGGCTGCTGAGAGACATGATGCAGGAGATGGTTAGAGACTGCAGGCATAAAATCTCACCAGTGCCTGCCTGCCGCCTCCTGCCCATCCAATATAACTGTCTGATGGCCTGTCTGTGCTTCCTCAAGTCCATCCATAGCAACGCCAGTTCCAATGTCCTTCTCCAGTGGTCCAGAAGAAGCTGCCCATGCTCACAGTAGCAGAGTGCATGAATGAGGGCGGGGTCTTCCGACTACTGGTCTCCGGGAGGCCTGCTGCCTACTGCTGCATTTCATAAATGGCACCAAGCGGCGGCACCATGATGTTACAGCACATGCTCTCACCTGAGAACTGCTGAAATTGGCCAAGTTTACCTGAGCCCAGCCAGCTTTGGGACTGCGCATGTGCAGTTCCAATGTCGACCCGTGGCCCTATTTTTTTTTGCGGGAGGCTGTTGTCTGTAATGAACATTTATGGACAGTCCATAAATGGGTTGAAGTTTACGGACTGTCCATAAATTTATGAACAGTGGGCAACCCTGTGTGGGGGCACTTGGAAGGAGGGAGAGGCCAAGAGAGCCAGCGTGGGACCTGAAAAGAGGAGGATCAGGGCTGCTCTGTGCAAAACCACTGCACAGAAGAGGTATGACATGTTTGTAATATTAAAAAAAAAAGTCTGCCTTTACAATAACTTGAAGATTGGCCAGCATAGTGTGGCCATTCTGAACTAGGAACTTGTATGCACTGGCAGGATCACCAGGTATTTCTTTTTCTACTGATCTCATTTTAAAACAAATATTAACTACACATAGTTGGACAAAATAATTTTGGAGCACATGGGTTACATACATGTTTAGGTTTAATGACACTTAAAGTGGTTGTAAAGATAAAAAGGTTTTCACCTTAATGCATTCTCTGCATTAAGGTAAAAAAGCTTTTAATATCAGCTCCCCCTGCAGACCCCCGTAAATACTCACCTGAACCCCATCTTGATCCAGCACTGTGCATGTCTGCAGCAGCTCTTCTCTCCTCTCCTGGCTCTCACAGGCTTGGTTGAGAGCAGCGGAAGCCATTGACCTGTAAGCAGAGAGCGGGGAGCCAGGCTGTGTGTCTGAATACAGTAGGGACTGAGCATGCATGAGTGCCCCCACAGGAAGCAGCTTCATATGGGGGCATTTGGTGGTGGTGGGGGGGGGAGCCAGGAGCACTGTCGGGGGACCCAACAAGGGGAGGATCAGGGCTTCCTGGTGCAAAACCATTGCACAGGGCAGGTTAGGTATAACATATTTGTTATTTTAATGAAAAAAAAAAATGTCAAGCTTTACAATCACTTTAAAGTATCCACCCCCAGTGCAAACAATGATGGATAGAATTCCTAAAGTGAACACTTACTGGAATGACAACTCATAATACTAACAAATACATGTAAACCAATCCAAAAATAAAATGTTACAATCATGTTAGACCTATGTTACATGGGATGGACTTCGCTTGACTGCTTTGCTCAGAGGGGGATCTGTCTGGTAATTCCACATTGAGCAGAGCGGGAGGATGCCAGGTCTGTGTCCACTTTGTTTATGCAGAGCAGACACAGTCCACTTTGCTGTATGGACTACCGGGTGTAAACAGACTGGCTGTCCATTTATACCTGACTGACGTTCGATCCGATCCACATAGAGGTGACCTGTCTGCAGGGGCAGACTGACAACTCATTGGGCCCCTGTGTCCTTGCCCAAACTCAAAAAGCCTATGAAAAAGGTACCAGGGGGCATCTCATGGGGCCCCCTACTGACCCAGGGCCCTTGGTCAGTGCCCGAGTTTCCAAATGGTCAGTCCGCCCCTGCCTGTCTGGTGTGTTCCTTGGCCTTCATGATGCTGTTTGTTTACTAATGTTCTCTAACAAACCTCTGAGGGCTTCACAGAACAGCTGCATTTATACTGAGATTAAATCACACAGGTGAACTCGATTTACTAATTAGGTGACTTCCGAAGGCAATTGGTTCCACTAGATTTTAGTTAGAGGTATAAGAGTAAAGGGGGCTGAATACAAATGCATGCCACCAGGGGTGGCCTGACTATTCGGGCACTCGGGCACTGCCCGAGGACCAGGGTTACTAGAGGGCCCCATGAGAGGCTCAGTCCATCCCTGTATGTGCCAATGCTGAAAGGAAGAAATAAGAAAGCCTTGAGGGGACGGACAGTGAGGCCTGGTTCATGTAGTAAGTGGAGAGAAAGAGCGGAGGACTACCATTGGCTGGCCTAGATCAGAAAGTGTTGGTGGATGGGGGCAGCGCCGCGGCAGGCACTTTGGACACCTCTCCTCCTCGGAGTTTCAGCAGAGGGGACAGGTCCACGTCCCCTGCCACGGGGGCTGAAGATGGAGGAGCTGGAGGGGCGGGCAGAGCGCGGGGGTCATCATTGAGGTGGCCTGCCTTGTATCCTGCAGCAGGTCAGTGTGTAATCCCCCACCGCCCTGTGACAGCAGTGTAGCTTGAAAGAGGAAAGACAAAAAGGCACTAGAGAGGAAAGACACTAGAAGAGAGGAAGAGGGGGGGAGGAGAGAGGGGGGGGAGGAGAGAAAGAAGGGGGAGGAGAAAAAAAGGACACTAGAGAAAGGACACTAGGAGGGAGGGGGAAGAGAGAAGCGGGGGGGGGGGGGGGGGGGAGGGGGGGAGAGAGAGGGGGGGCTGAAAAGGAGAGGGAGGAGAGGGGGAGAGAAGAGAGGAGAGAGGATAAGGGGGGGAAGATAAGGAGGGGGAATAGAGAGAGAATGGGTGAGAGAGAGAGAGAGAAAGGAGGGAAAGAAAAAGAAGAGCGGAAGAGAGAGGAAATAAGAGATGGGGGAGAGGAGAGAGATGCAAGGAAGAGAGGGGGAGGGAGGACAGAGACAAAAAAGACACTAGAGGAAAAGACACTAGGAGAGAGAGAGAGAGAGAGACAGGGAAAGAGAGGATGGGGAGAGGAAGAGAGAGAGGGGGGAGGTGAGAAAATTAGGAGTAGAGAGAGGAAGGGGAGAGGGGGGGGGGAAAAGAAGGGAGATGCGGTAGGAAGAGGGGGAGAAGAGAGGGAGAACGAGGGAATAGGAGAGAGGGGAGAGTGGAGAACGAGGAGAGGGGGGGAGAGAGAGGGAGATGGGAGAGAGGAGAGGAGAAGGAGGGAAAAAGAAAAAAGACACTGGGAGAAAGACAAATACACTAGAGGACAGATACTAGGGGGAGAGAGAGATAGCAGGCAGAGAGAGAAAGAGAGGGGGAGAAAGAGAGGGAGGGAGAAAAAAGACACTAGGAGAAAAAAACACTAGAGGACAGACACTAGGGGGGAGAGAGAGAGAAGAGAGAGACAGGGAGGGAGAGAAGAGAGAGAAAAAAAAGAGGGAAGAGAGAGAGATTAAATACGAGATGGGGGAAGAATCAGAGAGGGAGGTAAGAGAGAGGAGAAGGGGGGGGACACAGAGGGGGTGAGAATAGAGAAGAAAAGAGAGAAAAAAAAAAAAAAAGACAAAGGAAAGGAAAAAGACACTAGAGAAAAGACAAGAGAGAGAGAACAAGGGGGGGGAAAGAGGAGGAGGAAAAGAGAGAGCGGCAGTAAAAGACGGAAGGAGAGAGGGAAAAAAAAAGAAGAGAGAGGAGGGGGAGAGACGAGAGGGAGAAAAAAAGGGGGAGAGAGGGAGGGGGAAGAGAAGAGGAAGGGGGGAAGGGAAGAGGGGAAGGAGAAGAAGGGAGGAGAGGAGAGGATGGAGAGAAGGAAGGAGGAAAAAAAAACAAGAGGTTAGAGGAAGAAAAAAGGCTGGAGGGAAAGAAACTTGGAAAAGAAAAGAGAGAAACAAAAGGGGAAAAAAAAAAAAAAAAACACTACAAAAGACAGAACAGGGGGGAGAGAGAAAGGAAAGGGAAAGGGAAAAAAGGGAAGAGAGAAAAAAGGAAAAAAGAGAAAAGGGGGGGAGAGGGGAAAGTGAGAATTAGAACAAAAGAGAGGAAAAAGACAGGGACAGAAAGAGAGGGAAGGGCAGAAGGAAAAGAGGGAAGGGAAAGAGAGGCAGAAGAGGGGGGAAGAAAGAGGAAAAGAGAGCCTGAAAAAGGGAGGAGAGAGGACAAGGAGGGGGGGAGGAAAGGAGGGAGGGGGGTAACAGAAAAAAAAAAAGGAGGGGAAAGAAAAAAGACGAGAAAAACCAAAAGGGAAAAAAAAAAAAAGAGAAAAGGAAGGGGGAGAAAAAGGGGAAGTCCACGGGGGAAGGAGGGAAAGGGGGAAAAAACGAGAGAAAAAAAGAGAAAAGAAAGAAAAAAAAAAAAAAACAAAAAAGAAAAAAAAAAAAAAAAAAAAAAAAGGGGAAAAAATAAGAAAAAAAAAAAAAAAGAAAAAAAAAAAAAGAAAGAGGGGAAAAAAAAACTGAAAAGAAAAAAAAATAAAGAAGGTGAAACAAAAAAAAAAAAAAAAGAAAAAAAAAAAAACAAAAGAAAAAAGGCCGGAAAAAAAAAAAAAAAAAAAAAAAAACCTACAAAAAAAGAAGAGAATAAAGACAAGGAAAGATAAAGAAAGTGACAACAAGGAAATGAAAAAAAGACAAAGAGGAAGGGGGGTAGTAGGGGGAAGAGAGAAACAAACAAAGGAAAACAAAGAAATAAGGAGAGAGGGAGGGGAGAAAGAGAAAGAGAGAGATGGGGGAGGCGAGATGAGGGAGGACAAAAAAAATAAAAAAAGGGAAAAGACCAGAAAAAAGAGGAAAAAGAAAAAGATAAAAATAAAAAAGAGATGAAGGGGAAAGAACAAGAGGGGGAGGGATGAAAAGAGAGAGGAAGGGGAGAAGGAAAAGAAGGGGGGGGGGGAGAGGAGCGAAAAGGGAAGGAGAGAAGGGGGGAGAGGGAGGGAAGAGTGAGAGAAGGAGGGGATGAAAGAGAGAAAGAAGGAAGGGGGGGGAAAAATAAAAAAAGGAAGAAGAAAGGAAAAAAAAAAGGAGGAATACAAAAAAAAGAGAGAAAAAAAAGAGGAGACCAGAGGGGGGGGGAAAAGGGAGCAAAAAGGGGGAACACTAAGAAAAGGGACAAAAAAGGAAAAAACTAATAAAGACAAAGAAGCGAAGTTGTTAGGGGGACAAAAAAGAATAGACAGGGGGGAGAGGAGCATTGTAAAAAAAAGAACAGGAGAGAATAAATACTGGGAGGGGGAGCGTTGGGGGGGGTGTGACTCGGGGCCCATAAAGGGGGGGGGAAATGTGCAAAAATGGTCTGGGAAAGAAGAGGTGGGTGTGTTGGGAGAAAAAAAAAAGGAGTGGTGGGGGGTGAGAGAAAGGGGGATACAGGGGTAGGGGGGGGGAGGGTGAGGTGGGGAGGGGGGGGGGGGGTGGGTGGGGGGGGGGGAGGTGGGGGGGGTTATTGAGGAAAAGATAAGGGGTAGGAGGGGGGGGGAGGGGAAAAAGGAGGGGGGGGTGGAAAGGGGGGGAAAAATAAAAAAAGGGTGAAAAAAAGTGGGAGGGGGGGGTAGGTGGGGGGGGGGGGGGGTGGGGGTGGGGGTGGTGTGGGGGGGGGGGGGTGGGTGGAGTGGTGGTGGTGTTGGGGGGGGGAGTGGGTGTTTTTGGGTCTGGTGGGGGGGTTTTTTGGGGTATGGGGGTGGTTGTTTCCGGAGCTGGGACGGGGTGGAAGGTGGGGGGGGGTGGGGGGGGGTGATTTACAAAAATTTGAGGGTTCGGGTGGTGGGGGGCCGTGGTATTGGGAGTGGGTTGGTTGGGGGTGGGTATGGTGGGGGATGGTGGTTGTTGGAGGTTGGTTTTTTGGAAAATTTTGGTGGGGAGGGTGCAGGAGAGGGGTTGTTGGTTCTGGTGTGAATGTGTGGTATGTGTGTTGTAGATGACAAAAGGACACGTTTGTTTTTGGGTTTGTTTTGGTTAGGGGGGGAGGGCCCAGTATAGTTGGTTTGTTGGGGGAAGAGTGGGTGGATGGGGGGTGACTGGGGTTGCTGGGAGTGACTAGGGGTTGGGGCGTGAGCATGGGGTGGGGTTTTGTTTGGTCATGTATTGGTGGTGATGTTGGGGGGGTTATTGAGTTGGTTTCGTTAAAGCTCAACTAGGGGTTTGGGGTGGTGATCCTGGGTTTTGGGGGTAGAGTGGGGGGTGGGGGGGGACCGGGCGGAATGGGGGGGGGTTGTGTGGGGTGTTTGTGGTTTGTCCCCAAGGGTTTGGTAGGGTTGTCAGGGGCTTTTAAGGGGTTGGGGTTTTTTTTCAGGGGGGAGTGGGTATAAACTGAGTGGTATGGGGTAAAGGGTGTTATAGTTGGGTGGAGTTTTGAAATGGAGGGAGGGGGCGTGGGGTGCAGTGGGATTGGAGGTGGGGGATAACTTTGGGGTTTCACTGATGTTTTGTTGGGTGTTGAAAAGGTATTTGGGTGAAAAAAGGCCTGGGGAGTTGTTTGAGTGTTGGGTCCCTGGGGGGGAAGGGTAGTGGCATGGTGGGAGTGGGGGTTTGGGGGGGGTGGGGACATTAGTGGTTTGGTGGTTAGTTGGTTGGTAAGGGGTTGGTGAGGGGTTGGGGGGAGTTTGTGGGTACAATGAAGTTTAGGGTAGGGGTTGGGGTTTGAATGGGGGACAGTGGGGGGTATGCACTTAGGGTGTGGGTGGTTGTTGGGACGGGGTTTGGGAAATGGGAATCGACCAACCCCCCAGG